GTGTCACTCTCTCTCTCACGCATACTCTACTCACACACTCACACTCGCACGCACGCACTCCCCCCTCGTCCGACCCCCACACACACACTCCTGCCCTCCCCAACCCCTCCGTGGGCTTCATGTGGGTGCAGTTGCCCTACCTCGAGCGCACTGCCTTCCACTACGGTACGCTCACCCCTTCCTGTGTCACACTCTCTCATGCATACTCACACACACACACACACACACACACACACACACACACACACACACACACACACTCCTGCCCTTCTCAACCCCTCCGTGGGCTTCATGTGGGTGCAATCGCCCTAAACCTATGCTTATGCACCTTTGCTTCCCTTGTGCGCCCTCCCCTAGTGAGAGCTAGCCTCGGAGCTTCTCGGGCAGCTGGTACCATGCCATGCCATGGATGCGGCATGTGCCTCGGGAGGCCAACACGGTCATGCCGTCACTCTCCTCTTGCGTCCTCGAGCTTGCATGTGCTGCCTCTCCTATCCCCGCTTCACAATTGGCTTCTGAGTTTTTGGGGCAGCTGCTACCATTCACCATGGGGCACGTGCCTCTGGAGGCCAACACTCACATGCGTTGCGTACACGCGTGCATGCATTCCCTCTCCTCCCCTCTCCACTCCCTTCTGCTTCTCCTCCCCTGATCAAAACTAGCCTCGGAGTTCCTGGGGCAGCTACTACCGTTCGCCATGGGAGGCTAACACTCACTGTCTTCCCGCTCCCTCTTGTTTCTCCTCTCTCTCCTCCCAATGCATTCTGCTGCCTCTCTTTTCCCCCCGTCAGAGCTGGCCTCGGAGTTCCTGGGGCAGCTGCTGCCATTCGCCATGGGGCACGTGCCGCTGGAGGCCAACACGCTGGACGTCAAGATGCCTGCCCGGGACGACACCATGGCTCTCACGCTCAAGGCGTGGTACGTGCGTGTGCAGTGCGGTGTCAGGAGATGGGATGGGATGGGATGGGATGGGATGGGATGGGATGGGAGGGAGTGGTACTTTTTGCCCCTATTCACTCTGGGCGTGAAGATACCTGCCTGGGGCGACGCGATGGCTCTCTCGCTCAACGTGTGGTATGTGTGTGTGCAGTGCGGTGTGAGGCGATGGGATGGCATGGGATGGGATGGGATGGGCTTGCTAGTGTTTGAACACGCTAGCATGCGAAGGCTCCTCCGGGGGTAACCCGTGTGGAACGCGGATCTTCCCTCTCCTCTTGCCGCTCTTCCTGTGTCAAGCTGTATCAGCACCCACACACAGACCTTCCCATGTTACCTGTATCCCATTCCATGCCCCACTGCATGCCCCACTGCATGCCCCACTCCAAGCCCATACCCTCGCACGGACCACCTCTCGCATACGTGTACCGTGTACCCATACCCACGCGTACCACTCTGTATCCCTCTCCGCACCCCAGCAGCGATAGAAACGTGGTGGAGTGGTTCAAGACGACCTGGGAGCGAGTGCAGTTCCACTCCAGCACAGACCACCACACCACTCACATCCGTGTGCACCCATACCCACGCGGACCCACGTGTACCCACCCGTACCACTCTCTATCTCTCACCAGGAGCAACAGGGACGTGGTGGTGTGGTTCAAAGCGACCTGGGAGGGAGCGAGTGAAGTTCCACCCTCACACAGACGACATTGCTCTGCCCATGCTGCCGTACCGCTCCACTCCATTTGTTTTCCAATATCCCACTCCACCACACTCATACCCCCACACGGCCACACACCAGGAGCGACAGGGATGTGGTGGTGTGGTTCAAGACGACGTGGGAGCGAGTGAAGTTCCACCCCAACACGGACGACATTGCGCTGCCCATGCTGCCGTACCAAAAGAGCCTGCATGCCACGGCTGAGCGGCTGCTAGCACGTCTGCCTCGCCCGCTCATTGCTGTTCACTTCCGCTCCGAGTTCATCGCTTTCAGAGTGGTGAGTGGGGGGATGGGTGGCTAGAGGGGAGGGGAAGCAGGGTCTAAGAGGCTACCTGCATGCCACGGCTGAGCGCCTGCTGGCGCTCCTGCCTCGCCCGCTCATTGCTGATCACTTCCGTTCCGAGTTCATGGCTTTCCGAGTGGTGAGTTAGCACAGAGAGGGAATGAGAAGGAGGGGCACGCGGTGAGAGGAGAAGCAACGAGGGAGTGAGGGAGGGGGCAGAGAGTGGAGGAAGGAGCGCCGTGCGGTCGCTGCTGTGTGCCGGCTGGCGAGCCGTCCCGGGCCCTCACATGCTGAGCTCTGTTATGCGAATTCTCACAAGTGATTCCCTTGCATGGTGGAATCTGCCTGGGTGCTCGCCGTGCCGCCCTGGCTATGTGTGCTATGTGCTCGGCTCTGCATTATGGGTGCTTCAAGTGATGAGATGGGAGGGGGACAGAGGGGGAGGGGAGAAAGGAGAAGGGAGAGGGACTGGGGTGGGCAGGAAGGCTAGGCAGGCAACGAGGTGAGGCAACTCTTCCCGAGTACTCTCACCCTTTTCTGTGACACCACACCCGTCCCTCTTCCCTAGGCGTGTGGTAGCAAGAGAGTATGGTGAGTGTGGGCAGCATTGCCTCGGCCTTGGCAGGAGTGTTGCATCACAGCAGGAGCCCTACTCCTCTCTGAATCGCCGAAAAAAGCTGTTTCCCCCTCTCTCCCTGTGCCAAATTGTGCAGCAAGAGGACATGGTGAGTCAGGGCGGCAAGGCGAACGCAAGCATGGTGCAGCAGCGGCTGGACTGGTGTGTGGGCGAGGCTGAGCGCCTCATCACCTCCGTCCGCGACTCGCTCTCTCACTCCTCCACCGCTGGCAACAGCACCAACCCCCCCAGTAGCAGCAGCAGCGGTGGCAACAGCAGCACGGGCAGTGGCAGTGGTCCATCTGTGTTCATCGCAGCCGACGTGCCGTTCAACGAGTCTGCCGCCCCGGCGCGGTCCGACTCGTGGACGGAGATGGTTCAGTGGTACGACGGCGACAGCCGCGTGCTCAAATCGTCGTCGGCCGCGCTGCACCGCCTGAGAAGAAACGTGCACGGGACTGTGATGATCGATGAAATCATGCCGGAGGTCAACGAGTTCGACGCAGGTGGGTGCAGGGGGGTGTGAATTGCCCAGGTAACCCAGGTGAGATGGTGCAGTGGTATATGCTTGAAGTTCCCTGACCAATGCTGTTCGTGCGAACGTGCATGGCACCGTGATGATTGATGGTGACATGCCGGCAGTGAACGCGCTCGACCTGGGTGGGTGGCGTGGCGGGAGAGGGGAGTGTGAGGGGAAGCTCTGACCGCCCTCTACCACACGGCTGTGCATGTGAACGTGCATGGCACTGTGATGATCAATGAAGTCATAACGCAAGTGAAGGAGCTCGACCCAGGTAGGTGTGTGAAGGGCGCGTAAGGGGTCACTCTGACCGCCCTCCTCCACACTGCTATGGGGGCGGCAGGGGGTATGATATGAGAACACCTTTTCACTGCCTTCTTCTCTCCCCTTCCCTCCTCCAGGCGTGGTGGCCATTCTAGACAAGCTGGTGTGTGCGCATGCAGACGTGTTCCTGGCGGGGTCGTGGGCCTGTGGGGGCGGCAGGGGGTATGAAACGGACATTATGAAGCACCGCCGGCAGGCCGGTTACTCTGATGACACGCTGAAGCGATGGGCGGAAGAGCAGTGAGCAATACGCGCCTAGAATCTGAGGGACTTTGGGGCCGTGAGGCTGTGGGGTTGTGGGACTGTGGGGGCGGCAGGGGGTACGAGACGGACATTATGAAGCACCGCCGCCAGTCTGGTTGTTTCGATGACATGCTGCAACGGTGGGCTGAAGGGCGGTGAGGTGCGGCGATGGGCGCAGGGGCAGTGAACAAATCGCGCTCAGAAGTTAGAGGAATCGTGGGGCTGAGAGGCTCTGAGGATCTTGGGGCTGAGAGGCTCTGAGGATCTTGGGGCTGAGAGGCTCTGAGGATCTTGGGGCTGTGAGGCTCTGAGGATCTTGGGGCTGTGAGGCTCTGAGGATCTTGGGGCTGTGAGGCTCTGAGGATCTTGGGGCTGTGAGGCTCTGAGGATCTTGGGGCTGTGGCGGCGGGAGGCGGTACGAGACGGACGTCATGAAGCACCGTCGCCACGTAGGTTACTCCGATGATACGCTGCAGCAATGGGCGGAAGAGCAGTGAGGTGCAGCGATGGGTGCAGGGGCAGTGAAGCACATGCCCCTAGATACAGACCTTTGGGGTGTGCTGCTGTAGCGATGGGTGCAGGCACACCGAATAAATCGTGCTAGAAGCTAAGCTGGTGATGCCGCTGGAGCCGTGGGTGGGTGGATACAAGAGCAACGGGCGAGAGATGCCAGAACCGAGTTTTGTTCTGCTGCGGAGGTGGGAAGAAATGGGAACACACGGGGCTTCCAAGTGGTTTCTGCTGTGACAATCACTGCGAGGGGCACCGCTGCACCGCTGCTTGCTTCTGCAGCCGTTGAAAACTGGGTTGCAGAATGGTGCTTCTGTCATTCCGCTGCTTGTGACTTGACTGGAATGCCAGCAATAGGAAGCCCTATCCCCCCTGTAGCGGATCAAAGGGATAGCATACGTGAGTTGATGTAGTGTTTTGCTACGTGATATATAAGACTAGTATGAGGTTACTGTCACACTGCATTTCTTACTGCTCTGGCAGCGTTTTGTAAGTAGTTAGTGTGCATGCAGTTACCTTAGAAATCAATAATGTCATCAATTTTGAGGTAATGAGAATAGTGGATGTGTGACAGTGTCACTCAATACAGTAATGGTTCAAGCACTCCGTCTTCTCCAGTCCACGTCACAGTCCTTCCCCAGGTAGCCTTTTGAGGCGCCTCAGAAGTCCTTCCCCAGGTACCCTTGCACCCATTTCATCGACTAAAGGCACGTCATTTTTGGTATCAAGTCCAGTTTAGACAAATATCTGTGCAATGCATGTTAATGGCCTATAAAACTACAACAATTCAAATGAATGTTACACGAATCACAGTGAAGAACTCCGTGTGTCGTCGTGTCATGTCATCTCATCTCCTACTCCAGGAGCCCTGGCGCCTGTATGTGCTCATGCTCATGGCATGGCTGGCAATCACACTCCCCGCATCCCCACCATTCTGCATGCGCGGACTCGATGGCCTCGGGCTCGCCACGCGTGGCGACATGCCCATCGATCCCACCCCAGGGGAACCTCCGGTCATACCCCCTGGAGGTCCAAAGGCCCGGGGTGAGTAGCCCCTGGGTGACATGGCCCTGGGGCTACTTCCGCTACTACCCTGGAAATGCAGGGCGCGGGGGCTAGATGTCCGCATGGCAGCAGAAGCAATCATGGCTCCAATGTCTGGAGCGGTGGGGCTAGCCACATTGCGGGACGGATAGTTGCTATTATTCACGCTCGGCGATCCGCCTATCCTCGGGCTGCTGCTGCATCGATACGGCTCGGCAGCCCTCGCCGAGCCTGGCATCCCGTACTGCCTCGGGCTGCTGCTGCTGGCTCGGTAAGGCTCAGGAGCCCTTGCCGAGCCTGGCATGCCGTAGTAAGCACTGTTCTGTGACACGGACCCAGCCCCCCCTATCCGGGGACTCGTCCCTCTACTCGAATCTGACCAAGCAGCACCACCCCCGCCCCCTCCCCCACCGCTGCCGTACCCACCAGACCTTCCGGGGACAGAGGCAGCGGCGGGGTAGGCGCGGGGGCTGGGGTCGCGGAAGTAGGGGGCGCGGGGGGAGGGCTCTCGGATGGCGGTGTGGGGGGAGGAGTCGCGCAGGGGGTGTGTGCGGGGGGAGGAGTCGCAGTGGCGGAAGGCGGCGCGGGGGGAGGGGTCGCGGTAGGCGAGGGAGCGCGCACTGGATGGGCTGGGCCTCCTCGCCACCCAGTCGTCCCTCTGATGGGGGCGAGGGAGAGGGAGGGAGAACAAGGGCGAGAGGGATGGAGGGAGAAGCAGGGCGGAGGAAGTGGTGGGGAGAGGAAAAGGGGGTGAGTACAAGAGGAGTGGACTTTCTGTGGCATGTTTGGGGTCGTGAACACTCAATGCGCAGATTCCACCAGAACAGCACACTCAACCACCCCGACTCATTACCACGCCACGCCACACCCACCCATGCCCCCACCTGCGTAAGGTCTTGGTTCAGAGCATAACCACCCCTGCTTGGGGTCCTCACTCTCCAGCATGTGCACGACCTGCGGCATATCTTGGGGTGGTTGAGCGCGTTGGGCTCAACACATCTCAGCGCCACTCCCAACGTGCATTGCACATCTTGGCCACAGGCATTACCACACCACACCCACTTATTACCACACCACACCCACTCATGACCACACCACACCCATTCATACCTGCTTGGGGTCCTCGCTCTCCAGCATGTGCACGATCTGCGGCATCTTGGGGCGCTTAAGTGCATTGGGCTCCACGCATCGCAGCGCCACGCCCAGCGCGTACTCCACGTCGTCTGCCTGCACCGTGCCCTGCAGCCGCGGGTCCAGCACCTCTAACAGGCGCTCCTCTGCTGCCTTGGCGCGCACCCACCGCACCAAGTCCACCTGATAAGAGTGAAGGGAGGGAGCGAGTGAGGCAGTGAGTGAGAGAGTGAGTGGGTGTGGGGAGGAGCAGGGGCATACTCCACGTCGTCTGCCTGTACCGTGCCCTGCAGGCGTGGATCTAGGACCTTGACGAGGCGCCCCTTTGCTGCCTTGGCTCGTACCTGATAATGGCTGAAGGGAGGGAGTGAGTGAGAGAGTGAGTGAGGGAGTGGAGGATCAGGGGCGTTGACTATACGTTGGTAACTCAAAAGGTCACATGAGAGTGCACTACAGCTGAAAGCTCACCTGAACTGGAAGTGCTTCTTGATCCATAGGCCGTCTGCCCCACTTGCGTTCCTGCACGCACTAATTCTGTTCTAAGCTCGGCGCACTCAAGCTAATTGAGCATGTGCATCAAGCACTGTCATCCCAGGCCTACCAGATTTGATTGTGCTTCATGACCCATCGGTTGTCGATCGCACATTGGTACCTGCACACGCTGACTCTCATGTCAGCTCACATACGGCATCACATGACATGTGCAGGCATGGTGCTCCCGAGCCTACCTGGTCCGGAGGTGCTTTGTTTTTCATGACCCGCCTCCTGTCCTTGCGTTTCTGCACACGGCCGGAGATGAGTTCCAGCAACAGCTGCCCAAAGAGCTCTGCTCAAGTCACATGCGCGTGCATTGCATTTGCAAGCCCACCTGGTCGGAGGGAGCCTCGTTGTCGATGGGCGGGCGGCCGGAGATGAGTTCGAGCAGCAGCACGCCAAAGCTGTACACGTCACTGCGTTCTGTGAGCAGCCCTGTGTTCATGTACTCTGGTGCCACGTACCTGCAATACGAATGGGAACGAGGATCGGGAGAGGAGGATCGGGAGAGGAGGGCCGGGAGAGGAGGGTCGGGAGAGGAGGGTCGGGAGAGGAGGGTCGGGAGAGGAGGGTCGGGATGAATGCGACTCTTTTAACGTTAAATTAAAGTGATCTAGATGGAATATGGCCAATCATAAATGAAACTGTATCTGTGTGGTGTTTTGATATGGTCAGAAGAAGGGGGTCGGGAGAGGAGGGTCGAGAAGAGACAAGCGCTCACATGCCCGCCCCCACACGCGCGCACTCCATGAATCATCAAGTCAACTCACCCAAACGTGCCCATGACTCGCGTGCCCACGTGCCCTTGCTCCCTCCCCATGGCCTTGGCGAGTGCAAAGTCGCCCAGCTTGGCATTCCACTGCGCGTCCAGCAGCACGTTGCTGGCCTTCACGTCCCTGTGCACCACCTTCACCGCCATGCCGCCATGCAGGTGAGCCAAGCTGCATGGGTTGAGACGAAGAGGAACGAATGGGAACAGCGAAGGGGGTGCACAACTTAGGATTACCTACCCGCATCAATCAGATAACGCACGGCACTCACCCTTTGGCACACCCTACACCCACATGCGTATGCATGCAGCACGCACGGGGTTGATAGAGAGAGAGAGGCAACAAGTGAGAAGAGAGGAGGAAGCACGTACCCTTTGGCACACCCAATAGCCACGTGCATGCGCATGGGCCAGTCCAGCGTATCCGCGGACCCCCCAGCAGCGGTCTGGTAGAGCCAGGCGTCCAGCGACCCGTTGGGCAGGTACTCGTACAGCAGCATGCGCTCGTCGCCCTCCACGCAGCACCCTAATACGGCCGCCAGGTTCGGGTGCTTGGCCTGCGCCAGGGAGTCTATTTCAAACTTGAACTCGCGGGGTGACTGCTCCAAACTGGCGTGAGAAGGGACGGGGGAGATGGTAAGAGAGAGGGGGGGGGAAGAACGGAAGAGTGGGGATATGGTGAGAGGGGGAACGGGGTAAGAATGGGCAGACATGACGCGAGAGATAAATCGGACCCCAGCCGGGTGTGAGAAAGATCACACTTGGATGCCATGTCTTGCCGGTTGTGTTGGACTTACTTTTTGTCGCTCAGTCGTTTCACAGCCACCGTGGTCCCCTCGGGTAACCGCGCGCGGTAAACAGTGCCGTGCCGCCCGCTGCCCAGCACGCTGCGCTCACTCTGCCGCCCGAAGTCGTTCGTCGCCAGCGCCAGCTCAGCAACCGTGAAGTACCGCTCCAATCCGTGCCCTGCTGCCTCGTCACCATCTGCTGACGTGTCAGACGTGTCTCCATCCGTCCTCTCTCCCTCCAATCCCTCTCCCCTGCCACTGCTTCTGCCAGTGACCGCGCCAGCACCACCAGCAGGAGCGGCACGAGAGGGCGAGATAGCAGCAGCTGCGGCAGCCACAGTGGCAGCAGATGCGCCTGCCCAGCCCCTGGGAATAGCAGGCGATACTGCTGCTGCTCCTCCTCCTGCTGCTGCTGCTACTGCCGCTCTAGTGCTTGTTTTAGGCTGTTTAACACCGGGGTAATCGCTATCACTGCTCTCACTCGTAACGCTGCTCTCCTCCTCCTCCTCCTCCTCCCCGCGTTCCCCCTCTGCTGCGTGCAGGTCTGTCACTCGCAGCGACCTCCCAGCAGGCCCGTACACCCCCACCCGCACGCCAGATGAGCCTGCCCCAGCAGCACCACCTACCCCAGATACACCTGCTCCAGTTCCGCCTGCCCCAGATGCACCTGCCCTTGGCGCTCCTGCCCCTGGCTTGCGAAGGCTGTCCCCTAGAACCCCCTTACCCACTACTGCAGCGCTGGTAACATCCGGCGCTGCAGCCACTCTCCCGTACCCGCCGCTCTCCTCCATCTCGATCTCCTCCGTGTCTGAATCCCGATCGCTGCTCGCACCAGATGCAGCAGACGCACCAGTGGTATCCGACGCCGCTGCTGCTGACTGCCCCCCAACTCGCCCCCTGCTCGCTGCTGCAGTCGCTGCTGCAAACGCAGCAGACATTGCAGCAGGCATTGCAGCCGACGTGGCAGCCGACGTGGCAGCAGACGTGGCAGCAGAAGGCGCAGCAGGTGCAGCCACACGAGTCGCGCCACTGCTGTTGTGGGCGTGAGCGGCGGTCGCGCCCATGAGAGAGCCGCCCTTGCTGGCATCGTCCCACCCTCTGTCCCTACTCACCACTGACGACACCACTGAGTGTGACCCCCCCATACCCTCACTCTCGCTCTCACTCTCACTCTCCTTACCCCACTCTCTCCCGCCCTCCCTCTCCCTCTCGGCCTCTCTCGCTGCAACCGGGTCAGCCACTGCAGCGCGCTGAGCCCTCGGCGCACCCCACCCGCCGAGGGCCTTCACAGGGCTGGGGGTGTTGGCGCTGCTGCGCACCACACTCGCGGCGCTCGCACTGCCATACGCCGTCGCTTTGTCACTCGACTGGGGCAAGTACGCACTGTCGTAATATGCAACAGAAGCAGCACCAGAAGCAGCACCAGCTGCACCACCAGCAGCGCTGCCCCTCTCGCTCCCTTTTCTTGACTCATCCTCCTGCCGGCCAAACGATCCGCTCTGCCCCGGCCCCCGAGCCTGCCCCTGAGGCTGCTCCCAAGCCGCCGGTTTCCGGGGCTGCTCCGCAGGTCTGGGCGACCGCCTCGGCGGCGTCCCACCCTGTCGCTCGTTCCTCTCCGATCGTCCGCGCGACGCTTGCCTGGCTGTAGCCGCCACAGCAGCAGCCCCCGCTGTCGCCGCCGCGGCTCCCGCTACAGCCGGTCCTGCTACAGCCGCCGAGCGCGACGCGCCGCCTGTCGGCGAGGCGGCAGCGGGGAACACAGCGCGATCGCGCGAGGACGGCAGACAGCCGTTCATCTCGCCGCCCATCTCGACATCGACGGCCAAGGAGCGCGCTCCTGGGGAGCCGACAGACGCGGCGACGGAGGAGGGCGGCTTGGCGCCAGAGCGATTTGTCTGCTTCTGCTTCTTTGCCGCCCAGGCGCCGCCCGCGGCGACGGACAGGGCGGGTTCCTTGAGTCCGTCATTCGCCTGGTGAGGGCGGCAGTCAGCGGGTGCGGGGGTAGGGGCGGGGGGAAGCGGGAAAAAAGTGGGATGAGAAGAGGCGGGGTATAAGCGGGTGTTGTGAGCGGGAAGTACAGGGAAGGCAGAATGGAAGCGGGAAGGGGTCAACGGCCAGGATAACTTATCCCACAACTCACCGCGCCCTTGGCGGTCTTGCCCTTGCGCTCGCCCTTGCAGCAGCAGCACCACACCACCAGCAGCACCGACAGGATACACGCCAGCCCCGCAGCTGCTCCAATCGCGATATACACAGGCGTTGTTAACCCCCCGCTGCTGCCGCCGCTGCTGCCGCTGCTGTCACTGCTGTTGCTACTGCTGCTGGTGCCATCCGCAGCAGCCGCGGTGCTGCCGGTCGCGGGTTGCGGCGACGGCGGCGGAGTGGCCAGCTTGAGCGGGATGAACTCGTCAACGGGCGAGGCGGACGGCGGGGAGGGGGAAGATGCATTCCCCGGAAGGGGAGTGGCGGAGTTAGACGGGGCGGGATGGGCAGAGCGGGGAGGTATGGTGGTGGGGGAGGGGGATACTCCAGGCACTGTGGGGTTGTTGGGTGGCAGTCTGGGGGTGACTGGAAGCCGCGGCTTCGGAGCGACCTTGGGAGTGGGTACAACGGGAATCCGCGGCGTGGGTACAACGGGAATCCGCGGCGTGGGTGTAACGGGAATCCTGGGCGTGGGTGTAACGGGGGTCTTGGGCTTGGGTGTGGGAGTGACGGGAATCCTGGGTGTGGGGGTTTTCGGCGGCAACTTGGGCAGCGGGACGTACGGCGGATCGCCCGGACAGGCCTGCACAGCCGCACAGACAAGTAGGCGAGTGAGCACAAGAGATCCCGAGCCTCACGGTTTTCCTGATGTTCCTGAATAGTACCGCATGCAAGGAACAGTGAAAACCAATTGAGCATATAGCTGACGGTCAAGCATCTAGCCGGTAGGCATGCCTCTAGCCGACAGATTAGCATCTAGGAGACTCACCGTTAGGCCGGTGAATCCGGTTCCGCAGAAGCCGGCGCCATTGGCGGAGAAGTTGTAATGGGCGGTGCGGCTGGCGCGCAGGTAGTCGAGTCCTCGGGGCACGCGGCCTGTAAGGCGATTCTCCGCCAGCGACACGTCCTGCAGCAGTTTCAGATTGCCGATGGCGTCCGGAATCGAACCCGCGAGCTCGTTGTTGTTGAGCTCCAGCACCTTGAGCTGCACAGGTGCATGGGGGTGTTCAGGGCATGTGTCCGAAGGCATTGACGCAGGGCATCGTCGCAAAGCATTGTCTCAGGCGAAACATCCCACATGGGGGATCAGAACCGACAGAAACTAGCGAGGGTTGGTTGTTCAGTCGACCCAGATATCATGACAGGACGAGGAAAGGGCGGGGAGGGTGGGCGTGCCTTGGTGAGCAGGCCGAGGGAGGCGGGGATGGCGTCGCCGAGCTGGTTGCGGCTGAGGTCCAGCGAGAAGAGGTTCGTCACCAGATTCAGCTCCGGGATTCGCCCGCCCAGCCGGTTGTTGCACAGGTTCAGCACCTGACCGAAGAGCACACACGACGGAAATCGTCAGAGGAGTGGGTATCGTTTGTATTACAGAGAGCCGCCGCTCACGGTAAAGGAGGGGCCCGGAATTTTCGGCGTCTCAAAACCCCGAGGCTTGCACCTGGAGGCTGAGGATGTTGTTGACGCTGTTTGGGAATGAAAAACCTTAGAGCCCGCCATCGTGATATTGTTAATGCTTTTTGAAAATGGAACACCTAAGAGCCGTTCATCGCGAAGTCTCAGAAGAAGAGGGGCTTTGCACCTGGAGGCTGAGGATATTGTTGATGCTGTCGGGGATGACTCCGCTGAGCGCGTTCCGCCCGAGGTCGAGAAACGTCAGTGTCGCGATCTGATTGATCTCCACGGGAATCTCGCCTGCAAGGCCCAGGCCGTTCAAATGCAGCGCGACTGGCTGGTGATGCCCGTCGCACGTGACTCCCTGCGCGGAATAGAGTGATTGTATTGAAGAGCAGACGACACTATTGAGAATACAGCGTTTCACAATGCGGTGGAATTCGGTGCAGGTGGGTGTTAACAGAGACGGTGGATTGTAGATGACAGCAGCCGATGCAATAGGTACATTCACTATCGACAGTTTCCATGCAATGACAGCCGGCAACTTGCTTCCACGAAGCTTGACGCACTTGGAAGGGAGGGCTTCCGCAAGGGTCGCCATTGGTCCGCCATGAGCTGAGTTTTTGCGCGCCGGGGTCCAGCTTCGCCGCTATGCTGCTCCAATCCGTCGCGACGGCGCGCGTTGCTAACCCCAATGCGACTAACGCGAGCAAGTACGAGTGTACTTCTTTCTGCATCCCTATTCTAAGTTTCAACGGTCCGATTTCTGTCATTGTGAAGCTGCAATGCTGCTAAGCCTTCGATAGAGATGGAGAAATAAGTAGTTCTGGAAAAATAAACCCTCGGTCTATTGATTGCAAGAGGGAAGGAGAAAGGCCTCCTCCAGCATCTATGCTTCGTCCACTAAGCCATGGCGATGCAGTTGACGACTTCTAGAAACGAATGAAGACCTCACGTGCTAGAGAATCAAGCTTCCTAGTACAGGGGGCTCTGCTCCAGTATATTTCACGGTTTCCTCCACTAATCTTCACGGCAGCACAAGGGAGCATTCCATGTATCTGCTCCTCGCCCACTTGCACCACTCAACTTGTCCGTCTGTATACCAGCGCCCAGTAAATTATTCGCTAGTCCTCCGCCTACCCCTTCCTTCCCCTGCACCCAGAAATGGTCTTCAAACGCCTGTATGTAATCGGTCAATTCCTGCTGGGGAATGCATATATGAAGCCATGACCAGCGGCGTCTATGGGATGATGGGATTGACGACTTCCGTTGGTTCCTCGGAGTCGCGATAAAACCGAGAACGTCAGGGGCGGCGGTGACGGGTATGACTCACTGCTCTGGCAACTGCTGATTGGGTTATCCAGCGCAAAGAAGGGGGCAGTTAGGGGCAAATACAGGGTTTTAATGCGGTTCGGTCTGGTGCTAGCAAGGGCTGTGCTTTGCGGCGATCAGCTTCCAACAACTCCCAGTCGATGGCCAGACAGGGAGGCCCGTTGGGGTCACGGAGAAATGGGAAAAATTACTCCGAATCGCACATGTCTGGGAGAGACATCCCCGTCGCAGGATGTCAACGAGGCTCGCCAGATGCTGTGGTTTCTTCGTCAACAGGCAGCGCGGCTATTGCGAAAGCTGACTGTCAAAGCGCTTGTGGCAGAGGGGGCCAAATAATCAGGGGCGGGGGAAATGTCCCGCACGATGAAATCAAGGTAAGGACAGACAGGTCTGCGATTCGGAGAGTTGCCGTTGAGTATCCTTTATAAGGCCCATCGAGAGTATTGCACACCCATCCAGTTTCTGCCAGCTACTCCAGACCTCCAATATCAGCACGATTTTAGCAATGGGCTTGGTAAATAAAACAATAAATCTATGAAACCATAAAGTAATTTCAGATATTATATTTTTTTATATGTATTAAATGGAGATTTCACATGGATAGACACTGCATAGGTATAGGACATACGAAATGTTTCTAGAGAATAAAGAACCTGACTTTAATGAGCTGCATATCGACTCATTCAATAAGACTGGAGCAGTTCCTCAACCCCTAGCGCCTCCACGGCACAGCTCCTACCCTCAAAAAGCATGGACTGGTAGTCGAATCTTCATCATCACATCTAAAGTGCCGTCGCCATTGTTGCTTCTTGAGTCCTGACAACCATTTTACAACATGCCGCTCCCGCTGCAGCAGCATGAACGGCAGCAGCGCGCCGCGGAGCAGGTTTTAGACCGGCGATTAAGACCAGTGTACGACATGGTCGACTCGCGGAACCTGAAAGGCGCATTGAAGCTCGTTAATACTCTTGTTCAGAAAGCGGGAAATGACCAGGCTCCGATTAAGGTGCGCTTCTATTAGTTACCAGATTCAGGTTACTTATACTAATTGAATGTAACGATAGTACCGTGCGACTTTAAGCGCATGCTACCAGTTGGCGTCGTTACTTGTGCAGTGTGGTAGTAAGTAGCGACGCGGGACAGCCTGCCAGGCTCGCTGTAGAGCTGTAGAGCGTGCCGTACAGCCGTGAAACTGCTACTGTGCGTGTGCTACCAGGCTTGATCTGAAGCGCAACGGCTCCCACAGCTATGAGTGAATCCTTGACGGACGCTGTTCGCGGTGATAGTAACGCTTCGCCGATACCATGAGAAGAGCGCATTAGCGTTGTCGGGATTGCTTTCCCTTGCCAGACGGCTGCATTGGGCGTTTGATCGGCTTGGATGTGCGGAATGCGGTGCTTGTAATAGTGGGTAGTCATTGTTCCGGATCTTGAGCAAACCGGTAGTTGTTCCGAAGAAGATTAGGGTTCCTTGGAATACCGAGTGCTGTTTTTCCGAGATAAAGGCGTGGAAGAGGAAGGCCAAGGTTGGTCAACCTGAGATTCAGATGCTAAACCCGAAACCTCTAACTCTTTTTCGTCTCCCCCTCGCTTCCATCCTCCGTCCCCTTCCCCTCTATCCTCCCCAAACCCAAATTCCCCCCGCCCCTCCCTCCTTCCGACTCTGTCCCCCATTCCCAACACCCGCCTCCACTGCCTGCGCCTTTCTCCCCCCCCTCTTTTCCCCCACTCCCCCGGGCAGCTGGTGAAGGCGCTGGTGCTGTACCGCATGGGGCGGGAGGGGGAGGCGCTGGAGGTTTGCGGGGAGGTGCGGGAGGAGGGGCGCGCGGGGCAGCTCTCGGAGCGCACGCTCATGGACCTCATGGATCTCCTGGCCAGAATGGGCAAAGGTGGGCGGCATCCTCTGTCGTCTAGTTGAAAAGAAGGGGCACATCACAGAGCGCCCGCTCATGGACCTCATGGTGAGATGGGCAAAGGTGGGCGGCATGCTCTGTCGTTTAGTTGAAACAGGAGGGGCAGGAGCTTCTGGTTGGGGCCATGGGGAGTGGTGGAAACCTGTTTCGTAGGCGCGCATCTCTTTCCCCTCTGTGTCCCAAATCCCCACAACACCAACACCCCAACCCACCCTTCCCTTCCATCTCAGCCCACGCGGCAATAGAGGCGTTTGAAGTGGCAGCAGCACAGCAGGCGGGCAACTTGAAACTGCAGGGGGGGGGGGGGTGAAGGGACCCTCCCGTCCGTCTATCCACCCGCTCCTCGCTCTCCCCTCTCCCCCCACCCTCTATCGCAGCCCACGAGGCAGTGGAGGCGTTTGAAGCAGCGGCAGCGCAGCAGGCGGACAATACCAAGCTGCAAGAGCTGCTGATGGGGGCGGCACTTCAAAGTCTCACTGACCTTGTATCCCCCCCTTCTGAATCTCACCCCCTCTCAGCCCACGAGGCAGTAGACGCGTTTGAGGCGGCAGCAGCGCAGCAGGCGGAGAACATGAAGCTGCAGGAGCTGCTGGTGGGGGCGGCACTGAAGAGCCACGGCTACGTGAAGATGCAGCAGGCCGCCATGCGCATGCACAAGAAGAGACCCAAAGACGACAGATACCTGCTCTGGGCCGTCTGTAGCATGGACCTGCAGGTGCGTGCATGACTATGGCTGTAGCATGGACCTCCAGGTGCGTGCATGACTATGGCTGTAGCATGGACCTGCAGGTGCGTGCATGACTATGGCTGTAGCATGGACCTGCAGGTGCGTGCATGACTATGGCTGTAGCATGCCTGTGGCTGTCACACAGACCTGAAGAGCCGTGGCTATTGGAAGATGCAGCAGCGCCATGCGGATGCACAAGAAGAGGCCGCAGGATGACAGTGCCTCCTCTGGGCCGTCTGTAGCATGGACGTGCAGGTGGGTCTCTGTCCTGGCTGCAGCAGGCTGCCATGCGCCTGCACAAGAAGAGGTTACACGATGCACCCCCTTCATGGTGATGCAGGTGCAGGTGATGCAGGTAGCATGAACCTGCAGGTCCAGGTAATGCAGGTGATGCAGGTGAGGTGCCATGTCCTCTTTTCTCCGCTCGCCTGTTTCCTCTCTCCATCGCCCCATCATCTCCTTCCATGTCCTCTTTTCGTCCGCTTCCTCTCTCTCTTCCCCAAACCTCCCTCCCCACCTTTATCTCCCACCACACTCTCTCAGTCCATCCCTCTCTTCCCTCCACCCAATCTCTCCCCTCACCACTTTTTCTCCTCCCAACTTTCTCTTTCCCCTCCCAACCTTCACTTTCCCCTCATCCCTTTTTCTTCCCACTCACTGGCATCTC